CTACGCTATTTCTTCTCCTTATTTTGCAGTATTTGAGGCATTGGATGTAGAATTCGAGAAATCGTCAAGTTCGGTTAATTGATGCTTTCACAGGTAAAAATTCATGGAGCTTTTTATGTAACTACGCAGATTTCCAATGATTTCATGTGTGCGATTTTCTTTAATCACTTAATAATTGCCTTGTTAGTCACCGATTGTTTACTTGACACCAACTACTTTCATACTTCGTAGTTGAAAAAGATTGTCGATTGTATTGGTTCTTTGCATGTACTAAATTAATAAATTATAATGAATGATAGTAGTATGAGATAATTTATACTATTTATATCAATTAATATATCGCGATTGTGTTATGCATTGACCTCGCACTCAATAGTTGAATGCGATGTTTACTTACTCACCTGCCGCGATCATTGGCGACGTATTCGAATAACGCGAAAAAAACAATAATTAACCTATTTTTATATTATAAAAATTTTACACCTTTATATTTTCATTTCATCAAAAGTAAAGTTTCTTTCGGCCATTGTATCGAAGTTTCTTTAAAACGGAATAAATGATTAAGGTAATAATTTTACGATCTTGCTATCAGAGATAATAATAAATAATTTTTGTTATTGGCAAACAAGCAATTTATGTATGAATATTTCGGTTGTGACAGTTCATTTCAATGAATCAACTTCTGGGGCTTGCAAACTATTGACTATTATTTCGTAAAATATTTTATAACATCACTTAAGGCAGGACATAAACTTTCAACGGTTTTTTGCCTTTTTTTTAGATTAAAAAAAGATAAATTAGTTGGCTACCAAATTATCCACTGATAAACATTGATTGTAAAAATTTGGGTTATTTTTTACACTGCACATTTTATAACCATTTTATTCTATTCAGAATATTGATATTATATCAATTTTTATTACAATCGATGAAGAGATTTTTACATGCAAATATTTTTCATGTTATGTTGAATATGTTGTATATGTTAATATGAGTATATACATTTCAATTCTATAGGTGTGAATGCGGCAATGATATTTATTAAAGAAAAAAGAAAATTCATTTGAGATTTGATATAAAATTAAATTCAAAAAAAAAAAAAAATTTTTGTTTTAAAGGTCAGAAGCCGGTTCCCCAAATGTCAAATTCGAAACATTATAAAGAAAATTTTGAATTTCATCATATTCATAAAATTCAATTCGTCAGCATTTCCCGGATAATATATTAATTATTCTAGCTTAATGAGCTTTAGAAAAAATTAATACAATTAAGTTACGTTTTACGAACGATTTATATTCTTTTCATTCCTTTGATCTGATCAAAAATTATTTAAGGCAGCCCTTGAGCAGTAGATTTTACTGTGATGATCGTCAAACCAACCTGGTTTCGTCCCGCTTAATAAAATTTTGTTTTATATCATTAAGGTTCAACATTCAAAAATAATTATTCATTAATCTGTTGTCATGGACCAAGCTGTTTCTTGTTCGCTAAGGAAGAAGAAGGTGATGAAGTTTTAACAATAAACAAACCATCAATCTAATCGAGAATAATAAATCTTTATTTATTTAACAGGTCACGATAAATTATATTCTCCGAGTGTAAACACATTATCTCGCGAAATGAATACCTGAATTCTTTAATGTCATGAATCTAATTGCCGAGTTAGGATTTAATTATTTAATTGTAACCTTAATCCCACGGTTATTCCAATCGGCTTGATAGAAAGCGACTCCCCATCTATAATTAAAGCACCTTATTGAAAACTGGAAGTGAAACTAAACGATCAAACAAATTTTTTAACTATTTTTATGCAAATCTAAATTGGCTTATGTAATGCAGATTTGGGTCCGGCCAAAATGGCCAAAAAAATTTTAGGCTGGTAAAAATATTTTTTTGTTGAAATTATGTATATAGAGAGTTTGCAAATAGTTCGATTAAATTAAATTATTTATTTATCTTAAAGGATATTGTAAATTAATACTGCATAAAAAGCAGGTAGTATTGTAATGTAAATCTTTGAATGAACTTTCAGTCACGTGAGTAACTTCAATAACCAAATTAACGAATTCGTATTTAAAGTACATTAAATATAATTTTAGTTGAAATCTTTTTTCACCTTAATAATTTACTTTTACTTCTAACACAAAAAAATCAACTAACTTGTAGAACACAAAAAAAAGTGAGTAAATCAACAAGTGGTAACACAAAAAAAGTGAGTAAATAAATTTCTTGTGGTAATAAACTTGTTGGAAGTGTTGTAAATCAACAAGTGGTAACACAAAAAAAAGTGAGTAAATAAACTTGTTGGAACTTAAAATAGGAAATTTGTTGAACAATGATTAGAAACAATGATTGACTTAATTTGTACTTGACCTCTTTACTACTTAGGCGGTAAGTAGAGGATGCATACCCTTCAACCTTTACTATAACTCCAAGTTATAAAACAAAAATATATTTTTTCAATATAAATACGAGCAAATTTTCACTTATTTTTTTTTATAAAAATCACATTTAATTTATTAACAATTTAATAATCCTTAAAATTAAAAAAAAAAATTAGCATGAATCAAAATACAACAGAACATTTTGTAAGTCACGAAAATTTTGAAATCCAACCAGAAATATTATTGGATAATTTTTACAGCGTAAACGCATCCGATGATGGCTTTTCCACGACGACAAGAAATAATAATCTAAATAACCAACCAGTACCTTACATAACTGCACCAAACGCAAATAGTAATGACGAACAGTGTTATTATCCTACAACCTCTTTTGCAACTGAATCAACATCTTATACTCCACAATTTATTGGTCATAATTCTAACGACCAACAGATTTTAGAACAAAACCCACCAAATACCATTCCTTCACGGAATAATCTTTCTATTAATTCACCTAGATTGACTAATAATATTAGCCCTTCCCAGATTCAAACAGTTGAAATTCTCGGTTATGAAATTATTATAATCCCCACATCTTCTCCGTTGGCAAGTTTAATCAGTTTAGACGTGCAAAATCAACTACGACGAGGCAATACTCATTTGGATTATTCTTCTTATTCGGTTATTCCACCACGATTAAATCAAGAACGGGATTATACCTTTGCAACAAATAGATTCGATCCAACTTTGCAATACCTTTCTCAACCGCCGCAGTCGAACCCTAGCTCTCCCCAAATACAAACGATTGAAATTCCCGGTTATAAACTTATTATAATCCCCCACATCTCCATTAGCGAGTTCAACCAATTTAGACATGCAACATCAACTTCAGCAAGGCAATATTTCTTTGGATTATTCTTCTTATTCGGTTAACCCACCACAATTAAGTCGAGAACAATATTATGTTTATAGTGCAGGTGAATCTTCTATTGGTGATAATGTTATAGACACACATAATTTCGTTCAAGACAATACACAGCCCCAACATCAACAACAAAATAATTTAGGATTAAATGAATCGCTTAATAACTTCAACAACTTTTTTGGTTGATTTTACAATTAATTCTTACGTCGTTTTCCTAATTATATTAAATTTTGATTTCTTCATTTATTTTTTTAACCATATTTTTATTTATTATTTATTTTGACATTGTATGATTTATTACTTATAAATAAAGTTTATCCTTTTAAAAAATTATTTTTTGTGGTACAAATGTTGAAGTCCGTCTTATATATTTGTTTTTTTTTAACATTTTCATACATCCATTAATTTACAAAAAAAAAAAAAAAACAGACAATACAGCTTAATAATAATAATAATTTTTTTTTTTCGTTTATTTTAAGTAAATATTTTAATTTTATTAATAAAATGTTGCTAAAAGATTAACGTTTGACTGTTAACCATTTGTGCATAAAAACCCTTTAATATTTGTACCCAGAGCTTTTTCATGTTTTTTTTTTATGTCGAGTAGTTGATAAATTTTAATTTGATTTGATATAATGGATTTGATCCATTCCATTATTAAATCGAAAGTTTGTTATATCGAAAAATGTATTTGTCTATGAACTCTCTCCTTTAATGTGACAGCTAAGCGATATAAAAAATATAATAAATATTCAATAACATCTATTTTATATTTTTCCGTAGAGTTACGTTAACTTAGTATAAAGCACCTTTTATCTATTCATAAAATAATGCATTATAAGATAATAAATGTAAATAACCTTTAATAATATAACGAAAGTATGGAAATCGGTAAAAATATATTTGCCATGATAAAGCCTTCTTTGCATTTCTAATTAACTTGTTTAACAGTTATGTTTAAACAAGAAATGCTTTGATAAAAGCAAACATATATTTAGTTATATGATTTGAGATGTAGATTAGTACGTTGACAAAGATAAAATAGATAAAATGTTGCACCATTCGACTTTGCAACTCAGCAAATATATATAGTAAGTTGAAAAGGTTCCGTCACTAAAGCGAACTTGTAAAAAATAAATAATAAAACTACATTGAAGTAAATACTAAATATGGACGAAACGAAATACATATACAAGAAAAGATATAAAAACAAAATGCTGTCGATACAACCATATTAACCATATTTCTCATTACAAAGAAATCCAATCTGATTACTCTAGAATGTAGGTGAGGAATTTTTTTTTTCCTCGTACTTCCGTAACGTGCTGAATTTGAATTTTAATAATAACTGATAAAATATTTCTGTCTCTAATTCTCACCTTCTCAATTATTGAGCTCCTGCGAAAAAATATTTTTGTAGAATGACCGACGGATTTCGCCCTATACCTATTACACCTAATGGTATCGAGCCCACGATTGCTTATATAATTAGAATACGTGACTATCAATTTAGAGAATTAAACAAATCGTTCCAAGGGACATGTTATAATAATAATTACAATTTTATATAAAAAAAAATATGCGCTAGACTATTTATTATCGGACTAATAACGCCGACCTAACAAATTTATTTCCATTTGACCTTAATGAATGTTTGATTCTACCTTGGAAAATACGTAGAATACAAACTCATAATTCTAAAATTATTCACTTGAAATTCCTAGATGATTATTATAATCCCTATATTTCAAATTAGATTGTTATATTAAGCGGCAGAGTCGTTATTTGGTACACGTGATCCAATATCTTACAAATAAAATTTTATGATTTGTGATTTATTAAATAAATACCTTGTTGGAACATTTAATATAAATATATTTACTTAAGATTTCAACTTTCTTTTAATAGCTATAAAAAGCATGTCTCATTAATAAAAATAAATGAAATATAAATGAATTTATAGTGTCAATAGCAGTTCTTTAGTATTTATGGATTGTAAACTATAATAAAAGTTTGTTATTTTATTATAATAACGGAGTTTCTATTGCCTCAACGTCGGCGCTCTATACGATCAGGTATGTTTGTTAATTATTATTTCGGAGTTATTACTATAAAATGCGAAGGGAAAGGGAAATGTACTAAATGCTATTATTTTATTATTTAAGAATATCGACCGTTAATTTAATAAAAGAAAAAATTTCCGCCATTATATATCGAAAAAAAATAAAGGACATTATTGTCCAGAAGGCATATTGGCCAGGTGGCATATTTGCCCACTAAACAAATTTGGCGGTCTAACTAAATGCTATCGTAAAATGTTTCGCTAACAATATTTTATTGATTTTTATAATATTAAATGTAAACTAACTTACATAATAAATGTAATAATAGTATGAAGAATAAGATTATATAAATAAGAATTTTACCATTTGTTCAATTCCTTTATAATTTTGAAATAAATTTATTCTTTACCCTATCTCTTAATAACCTTCTCAAAATTTTACCTGAGGGACTTTTAGGAATTTGATCAGTAAAATAAATACCGCCACGTAACCATTTATGATTAGAAACTCTTTGAGAAACAAATAATTTAATCTCTTCTTTTATCTCATCAGATTGAATTATATCTTTTTGTAATACTACGTATGCTGCTGGATATTCTGTTGCACTTTCGTTAGAATGTACTCCAATTACCGCAGCATCAGCAATTGATGGATGAGTAAGCAAAACTGATTCAAGTTCGGCTGGAGCTACTTGGAATCCCTGTACCAAATAAACAAAAAAAATATTTATTATTAAATTTGCAAAATAAATTAAAAATGTTATATAATTGGTTATTACCTTGTATTTAATTAATTCTTTGACGCGGTCGACAATGAAAAAATTTTCTAGAGATTAATTTTAATATAAGCTTTCCATTTTTACGGTGAGCGAAATATATGAATGAATGAATTAATACACACCTCGAGAGTCGGCGAATACCTCATCCCCTGTACGAAACCAACCATCACTATCAATACAAATGTCCGTAGCTTCCTTATTATTAAGATAACCCTAAACCAATTTATTTAATTAATTTATTAACTTAATTTGTTGAAAGATACTGTATATAAATAAATTACATTACCTTCATAACATTTGGTCCACGGACGTATAATTCTCCAAATTCATTACATCCAAGTTCTATTAATAAAATCACTTTATTTTTTTTTCCAATTTAAAGTTGACGGAAAAAAAATTAATTGATTACCTTGACCATTCTCCGAAACTATTTTACATTCCATGTTTGGAAGAAGAATTCCAATCGAGCCTACGAAAAAATTCAACAAATTTATGAATTGCGCAAATTAAAATCACATGATATCCCGACATCCTTCACTTTACCATTGATAATGTTATCAGTCTCCGCCATATGTGTAATTGGAGATGTCTCTGTTAAACCTAATAAGAAAAAAAATTAAAATAAATAGGCAAAATGTATATAATAAAAATTCTTTCTATCAATATATACCGTAAGCCTGCTTGATTGGAATTTTGTGAATTTTAACAAATTCATTGCTTAATTCTTTGCTTAAAGGAGCGGCAGCGGATATAGCTAATCGTAAACTTGATAAATCATATTTTCTTGCAATGGGGCTTTTAACCAAAAGCAAAACGACAGGAGGAACAACTGGTGCCAAATTTACTTTATAATCTTGAATCGCACGACAAAATATTTCTAATTCAAACTTGGGAAGAATAACACACGAAGCTCCCTTTACAAATACACACGTGCAGAGATGAATGAGTTTATATTAAATTTATAACATTGCAATCATATAAATTATATATACTTTTACAATGACAAAGTGTATAAGAAAGATTAATCCGTATATATGGAAGAAAGGCTAAAAATTGATGTATTCTCATTTAATATATGAGTTCTTTTTATTTCAATCAAATTTTACTTATCAAAACTTACGAGAAAGCCAATTAAAGAAGTCTCATGAGTGAATCCTTTTTCGAACGCAGATAATTGAGCCAAATTTGATACAATATTATAATGAGTAGTTTCAACCCCTTTATTCTTTCCTGTAGTACCAGAACTGTAACACAAAAAGGCAGTCGTTAACTTTGCTTCTTCTGGTGAATATTCTATTGGATTGATTTCTTGTTCAGAAATTAAAGACGAGAAAGGTCGAATTCCATTAATTTCTTCTTCATCAAACAAAAATATTTTGGATTTTGGAATATTTGCTGCGGATGCGGCTTTAATCACGTTTGAAAGACATGAAGGAATAACTATAATAACGGATGCACCAGAATCTTTTAATTGAAAGGCGCATTCATCAACCGTATATAAGGGATTAATTGGGGACACTTTTCCTCCTATAAAAAGGAAGCGATTTTATTTTACTTTGAATTTATCTGTGGACGAAAAAAAACTCTGCCAACTTACCTGCAGCAATTGCACCATATATCACGGTCGGATAATCAAGCTAAATAAAGTATCAAAACTTTAACAATGTACAATGTAGCTTTATTATGCGGTTACGGATAACTCTTACGTGATTAGGAGAGAATATGGCCAAAACGTCTCCACGTTTAAATCCAACTTTATTAACTAAACCAGCCGCAAATCTCCTTGAGTTTCTTTTAAATTCACCGAAAGATAATTTTTTATCCGTCGTAGCATCAATAAATATTGGTTTTTCATCATCAATTCCACTAGTATTACTTGTAGCATATTGATAAATTCCTATTTTTGGAATTTCAATATCAAGAAAACGAGATTTGAAAATCATTAGTAATAAATCGTAAATTATTTCATTAATAATTATTTTTAAAAAAAAAGAAATGAAGGCATGGAGAATTTATAAAAAAAATTGGGGTTTAGATGATCAATAAATCTCAAAATTGATTGATCACTAATAAATGATGAAATCGATTAAACCAATTAAAGAATTTTCAATGAAAGACTCAAATATTTTATCGATTATCTATGTATGTCAGTCATAAAGATTCCCATGACCAGGTGGTTTTTGTTCTCGTGATTCTCGTATTTAATCTGATTTAAATATAAATTCCGACCAAAATTCTTTTTTCTTTGTGAAACCACTTTATGGACAATAATTTCAAGATGTTCTAGACGTGTCTATGCTTTTATGCTGCATTGGTCTGATAATAGTTAAAAAATCATAAAAAAATTATGTACACTAAACATGTGCCTTTTCATTTAATTACTAGTAATAATTTGATACCAAGAATGCAAGATTATAATTATCACTATCTCAAAATCCACATTTATATAAATTTTGCGGCAGAAAAATAAAAAAAAGTTTAACGCCAATCCAAAGAGTATCTATCAATCATTTATACACAGAAAAGTATATGAAGAATGACAATTTTCAAAAATCAATTTTATATTAGTTATCAAAGTGATATGTTTCTTATCCTGTAAGTTCGAGATGTGTTTTGCGGAAATTATTATGGAATGAAATTTAAACTTTCAATCATTAATAAAAAAATATTAAATTTATATAATAAATATAACCGATTAAAAATATAAATATAAATTAGCAAAATCGTAAATTATATAAATAATTATGTCAGGTAAGGAAGTTTTTACGATTTATCAGCCACAATAATCCTAAAATTTTTGTTTTGATGTTGGAGTAGGTACAAGTAAATAAGTTTTTTGATGATTTAATTGATGGTAATATACATTAAATTGTGAACATACTTTCCACCTGTAGCGACAATAAATAACATGGTTGTTTCATATATGCTAATTTGGAACAAAATATTAGTACCCCATTTTCTTGAATGTGCGATAGATACAGTATGTGAGTGACTATTTGATTGTTAATATTAGAAATCGATCATTGTTTTATAACTTCGAAAATAATTTATCGTATAATTAAAACGAAAAAAATAGATTTGTGTAAATGAATTAAATTCTTTAACCTTGAATTAAAGTTTACAATGATAAATCATTTCGGTTTTTATAGCAATATTTTAACTATCAAGATGAAGAAAACAAAAATTAAAATTTTAAATTAGGCAATTGTCATCTGAATCCTGTGATTACTTAATTACTTATAAAGAAAAAAATAAAAATATTACACAACGACCATTTAATTATTTGAAGAGTCCGAAGGATTCTATCCACTTGTTTCTGAAATTTGGTAGAATGAAAAAAGAAATAATGTGTTCTATTATTTATTGTTAAACAAAAAATTTGTTAACTGAATAAAAATTATTTTTAACTACAAATTATACAAATTATGCGGAATAAGCATCTATTGTGATTTCTAGAACAATAAATTTGATTCGTCTCAAAAAAAAAATTTACAATAATTTTGGTCGAAATATCGTAATTCTAAGAACCTATATCAATCTTGAGAACAAATTTTTATTGCTAAAAAAAAAAAAAAATCTAAAAACGTATTAATCTGATTGGTTTGTTTCAAAAATAATTTTTAAAGGATAAACTTTATTAATAAATAATAAGACAAAATAAATAATAAAATAATATAAGATTTAAAAAAAAATTGGTTTAAATTAAAAAAAACGATTTATAATGTGAAATCAACCAAAAAAGCTATTGAAGTCATTAAGCGATTCATTTAATCCTAAATTATTTGTTGTTGATGTTGGGGCTGTGTATTGTCTTGAACGAAATTATGTGTGTCTATAACATTTGGGCTAATAGAAGTTTCACCTGCATTAGGAACATAGTGTTGGTCTCTATTTAATTGTGGTGGGTTAACCGAATAAGAAGAATAATCTAAAGAAATATTGCCTTGCTGAAGTTGATGTTGCAAGTCTAAATTGGTTGAACTCGCTAATGGAGAAGATGTGGGGATTATAATAATTTTATAACCGGGAATTTCAACCGTTTGAAATTGAGGAGAGCTAGCGTTCGACTGTGGCGGTTGAGAAAGGTATTGCAAAGTTGTATCGAATCCATTTGTTGCAAAGGTATAATCCAGTTCTTGATTTAATTGTGGTGGATTAACCGAATAAGGAGAATAAGTATTGCCTCGTTGAAGTTGATTTTGCACGTCTAAACTGATTAAACTTGCCAACGGAGAAGATGTGGGGATTATAATAATTTCATAACCGAAAATTTCAACTGTTTGTATTTGAGAAGAGCTAGCATTAGTCATGCTAGGTGAATGAATTGGAGTATTAATATGTGGGGGAATGATAGTTGGTGGGTTTTGTTCTAAAATCTGTTGACCGTTAGAATTGTTACCGATAGATTGTGGAGTGTAAGATGAATCATTTGCAAAAGAGGTGGTAGAATAATCGTCATTATTGATTGGTGCAGTTGTGTAAGGATTATTAAGATTATTATCTCTTGTCGTGGAAAAGAAATCATAGGATGGGTAAAAAGTATCCGATGATAGTTCTGGCTGGATTCCTGGATTTTGATACATTTAAGGGTTATATAAATGTTGGAATTATTATTAAAAAAGTTTTTTTTTTTGACGAAAATTTGCTTGTATTTATATTTGAAAAAGGTTTGTTCTACCTTTTCACATAAACTATTTTGCCTTTACAAGATCACAATAAACCTAAAACCACCCTTACATAAATGATGAAATGAAATATTTTTTTTTTTGATATTAATTTTACATGAAATTAAACGTTTGTTTGTGGTTTGTTTGGCGACTTTGCAGGAAAATATTAGAATAGATCGACATTAAATGGATGTTCTTTATAGAAAAAAAAATATTTTTTTTCCTTTTTTTTTTTTTTATAAAGGAAATTGATGTACGGTACATAAAAAAAATTATTATTTTTACAACTATTTAGGATTTGATCGAATATTAGGTTGAAACTAAGTGAGACTCGATTTTTGAGCGGTTTCCTTCGTTACACTACGGACTAATTATATGGTATAGACTCCTCCTTTATCTCTTCCTTTAGGTATGGTAACGACTGGTCAAATTTTTGGACAGATAGCAACCAAGCTTTATTCTCTGGATGGTTGAGTTTCCTTTTCTTTTGATTGGGTTATTAGTCTAGAGCGATGCAGGGTTGACTTTATATTTTTTAACTAGTTTAGGAGATTTAGAAGTTTTTGTATTTTCTTTTCTTGTTTTGTATTTTTTTATAATTTACTTACATCTAATAAAGATTATGCGTTATCGCACTTAAAAAAAAAATGATATAGATCACCTAAAAATAGATCGCTTCACAAGTAAAGGAAGTGATTGACCAGAAGAAGATTAGATCAACGGTGATAATAGACTGCATTGCACGCCGCAGCACTGTCAATCACTTGGTCAGAAGTTTGACGAAATGGTCATCTCGCTAGTTCCCGTTTGGGCAAATCTTGTGGTACTTTCTAGGTACTTTCCCATGAACCCTGCGGATAAAGTATAGGAGGTGACGTTCTTATATGATCCCTCTATCCAAATTTGGCAGAACCCGGGCTGCTAGAAGTACCTGTGCACACAATTCGCATTTATCGGCATAAAAATATAACAAAGTTCAGAAACATGTGGATAGAATCCTTCAGACTTTATAAAATAATTAAATGACCTGAAAAGTATGTTCACAATTTAATATACATTATCATCAATTAAATCATCAAAAAACTTATTTACTTGTACCTACTCCAACATCAAAACAAAAATTTTAGGATTATTGTGGTTGATAAATCGTAAAAATTTCCTTACCTGACATAATTATTTATAAATTTAATATTTTTTCTTCTTTACCAAAGTTATGCGACTTTTATTAATGATTAAAAGTTTAAATTTCATTCCATAAATAATTTCTGTAAAAATTCTCGAACAACTTACAAGATAAACAAAGAACAAGCATATCACTTTGATAACTAACATAACATTGATTTTTGAAAATTTTCATTCTTCATATATAAATATACTTTTTTATTTATAAATGATTCATTCTCTTTGGATTGGCGTTAAACTCTTTTATTTTCTGTCGCGAAACTTCTATAAATGTGAATTTTGAGAATAAAAGAGTTTGGTGTACACAATTTATTTTTAACCGCAAAAATTTGGAAAAGTTGTATTACAGATCGTTGTCAGCATAGAAGTATCCATTATTTTGATTACATAATAGTCAGAACTATCGTAATTCTAAGAACCCTATATTTAACGAAAATCTCAATCCTTTTTTATAACCGGCGTTGTCTCACGAGAATCACGAGAACAAAAACCACCTGGTTATGGGAATTTTTTAATAAAATTATATAAATGATAATCCGACAATCAAAACCCTAAATAAAAGGGAGCTTCGTGTGTTATTCTTCCGTTTGAATTAGGAATATTTTGTCGTGCGATTCAAGATTATAAAGTAAATTTGGCACCAGTTGTTCCTCCTGTCGTTTTGCTTTTGGTTAAAAACCCATTGCAAGAAAATATGATTTATCAAGTTTACGATTAGCTATATCCGCTCCTTTAAACAAAGACTTAAGCAATGATTTTGTTAAAATTCACGCAATTCCAATCAAACAAGCTTACGTACGGTATATATATTTATAGAAAGAATTTTTATGATAAACATTTTGCCTATTTAATTTTTTGTTTTTGTTTTTTTTTCTTTTTAGGTTTAACAGAGACATCTCCAATTACGGAGACTGATAACATTGTCAACGGTAAAGTGAAGGTTGTAATGTGATTTCAATTTGCGCAATTCATAAATTGTTGAATTTTTTCGTAGCTCGATTGGAATTCTTCTTCCAAACATGGAATGTAAAATAGTTTCGGAGAATGGTCAAGGTAATTAATTAATTTTTTTTCCCAGTCAACTTTAATTGGAAAAAAAAATAAAGTGATTTTATTAATAGAACTTGGATGTAATGAATTTGGAGAATTATACGTCCGTGGACCAAATGTTATGAAGGTAATGTAATTTATTTATATACAGTATCTTTCAACAAATTAAGTTAATAAATTAATTAAATAAATTGGTTTAGGGTTATCTTAATAATAAGGAAGCTACGGACATTTGTATTGATAGTGATGGTTGGTTTCGTACAGGGGATGAGGTATTCGCTGACTCTCGAGGTATGTATTAATTCATTCATTCATATTTCGCTCACTAAAATTCATCTCTAGAAAAATTTTTCATTATCGACCGCGTCAAAGGATTAATTGGATTAATTAAATACAAGGTAATAAAGGTAATAACCAATTATATAAAATTTTTAATTTTTTTTTTGCAAATTTAATAATATATATTTTTTTTTTTTGTTTATTTGATACAGGGATACCAAGTAGCTCCAGCCGAACTTGAACAGTTTTGCTCACTCATCCATCAATTGTTGATGCTGCGGTAATTGGTGTACATTCTAATGTAAGTGCAACAGAGCATACATAGTATTACAAAAAGATATAATTCAATCTGATGAGATAAAGAAGAGATTAAATTATTTGTCTCAAAGAGTTTCTAATCATAAATGGTTACGTGGCGGTATTTATTTTACTGATCAAATTCCTAAAAGTCCCTTTGAGAAGGATATTAAGAGATAGGGTAAAAAATAAAATTATTTCAAAATTATAAAGGAATTGAATAAATGATATAATATTATTCTTCATACTATAAATTCATTATTTTTATTAATGAGAAATTCTTAGCTATTAAAATAAAGTTGAAATCTTAATTAAATTTATATATATTAAATATTAATACATGAAATTTTTATTTGTTAATTCTCTGCAAGATATTGGCTCACGTGTACAAAATAATGACTGCCGCTTAATGATACATAACAATCTATAATCATTTATCTGGGAATTTCAAGTGAATAATTTCAGAATCATGAGAGTGATTCTGAGTTTTTTATTCTAACAGGTAGAATCAAATGTTCATTATAATCAAATTGCCCCGAAAATTGCATTGAAGTTTATATTTACTTTTTTTTTAAAAATATCAAGCGGAAAGAAAAAAATCTAATGTCTTTTTTAATAATGATATTTGACTTCATGATATAATTATAAGCCAATAAGCAAAATATTTGTATAAAAAACGAACATACCATATCTTTTCAGTTCAAGTTGCAATTTATAAAATTATAAAAAATTCATTAAGATAAATTTAGCGAAAATTCTAACGTTGATTGTTATAATTGCATAATTATAATAAATAGTCTAGCAGGTATGGTGCAAACTTTTTTTTAAAAATAAATGGATTTCTTAGTCATCTACATCTCAAATATTATTTATAACTACTATATGTTTGTTTTAATCAAAGTCTTTTCTTGTTTAGTTTTGGAAATACCTGCTACACAAGTTAATTAAAATTGCAAAGAATGCTTTAATCATGATAAATATATTTTTTTACATAGATATACGATGAGTTAAAGTTGCATTAAATCGTGACTATTAAGGAGTATATTCTATTGAATATTTATTACCTTTTATCTCTTAACCATCACATGAAATGAGAAAGATCATAGACAAATATATTTTTCTTGATATAACTACTTTCGATATGAACACCATTTATCAATATTTAATTTTAATTTTAATTAAAATATTTACTTAAAAATTATTTTAAATAAATAAATAATAATATTCTACGCATTGTCAAGGATTTTTTTTTTTTTTTTTAGATGTATCTCCAATTTGTTGCTAGAAAAATAATCAAGTACTATATACATATACAGTATATCAAAAAAAAATATATTTTTTTTTTAAAGGAAAAACTTTATTTATAAGTAATAAATCATACAATGTCAAAATAAATAATAAATAAAAATATGGTTAAAAAAATAAATGAAGAAATCAAAATTTAATATAATTAAGAAAACGAAGTAAGATTTAATTGTGAAATCAACCAAAAAAGTTGTTGAAGTCATTAAACGTTCATTTAATTTTGTTGTTGATGTTGGGCTTTGTATTGTTTGAAACAAAATATTAGTGTTAATAAAATTTGGACTAATAGAATTTTATCCAGAACTAGAAAACCAGGTTTGTTCTTGACTTAATTGTGGTGAATTAACCGAATTAACCGAATAAAAGGAATAATCTAAATAAGTATTCCTTGTTAAAATTGATGTTGCATGTTTAAATTTGTTGAATTTGCTAATGGAGAGGATGTGGGGATTATAATTATTTTATAACCGGGAATTTCAACCGTTTGTATTTGAGGAGAGCTAGCATTCGACTGCGGCGGTTGAGAAAGGTATTGCAAAGTTGTATCGAATCCATTTGTTGCAAAGGTATAATCCTGTTCTTGATTTAATTGTGGTGGATTAACCGAATAAGGAGAATAAGTATTGAATTGTTGAAGTTGATTTTGCACGTCTAGATTAATTAAACTTGCCAACGGAGAAGATGTGGGTATTAGAATAATTTCATAACCGAGAATTTCAATCGTTTTTATTTGGGAAGAGCTAATATTATTCATATGAAGTGAATGAATTGGAGGATTATTCTGTGGGGGAATGATAGTTGGTGGGTTTTGTTCTAAAATCTGTTGGCCGTTAGAATTATGACCGATAAATTGTGGAGTGTAAGATGAATCATTTGCAAAAGAGTAAGGTACTGGATGATTATTGTCTCTTGTCGTCGTGGTATCCGATGATATTTGGATTCCAAAATTTTCGTGTCTTTCATAATTTTCTGTTGGATTTTGATACATTGTAGAATTATTTGCAAAATTATTGTTAATTTTATTTAAAATTTTTTTGACGAAAATTTGCTCGTTATTTATTGATTTTTTTTTTGGGCTATACGATGACGTTTCAAAATCATTGGCTCGGAATATTTACGATTGTTTTTAACTACGGTTAGATCACGTATCATTCTTGAATTCTTAGAATTTTTTTAACAACGACTGAAATTTTTTTTTTTTAAAAGGATTCAACCCCTAAACGCCAAATTGCTTCATTGCTTCAAGTATACTAAAATCACTCATTGAATTTTTTTTTATCAATTTATCTTACATGTTTATTTGTAAACATTATTAGCTTTCATTCGTTTCCATAAAAAACCAAGTATCTCTTATCATTTGAAATAACATAAAAATAAATAATGTTCATCCTTTCCCTGTATCAAACTAAAAAGTTGAACTTACTAAATATAGAGTGATGTTCGAATTTGGCGCCCATGCAGTTCAATTTATATCAAAATTTACAGTAAATAAATATATGATACAATATGTTTATATTAACTCTCTATAAGATGATGTGCCACAGGATTTGTAGTATATTTCTTTATATATTTATATAAAAATTCGCATGAAGCCACAAAAAGCAAAACATTTTGTTAATCATGTGTAATTGAAAAATTAATAGTAACGCAAAAAAAAATTTTTTTAAATAATGAAATCATGATTAATGACTCGTGACAAAATATGTAGGTTTACGGTTAGATTTATCACCGGCGTGAACACCGGTAGTGTTCAATTTTTATTAAGTATCTGAATTTTTGGGTGGTGATGTTAAAACTACTCCGTTATAAGATTAAAAACCAGTTACTATTAAAAAAACCTCTTCTATAATCACAATGCTTTATAGTCACACCCCTTTGGAGACCAATGCTTTGTTAGTAATGCTATAAAAAAAATCCTTTTATATATTTATATAGTCACTTTTCACTATAGTCACTTTTTATTTTTGGTCCCGAGGGATGTGACAGTAGAGTGGGTCGACTGTACTATGCGAGCAAAATTCATCAAAAAAAAATTTTGTTAAAAAATCCATTCATTTTATTAAATAAATTTAAAATATAATTCTACAAATAATTCTATAAAGTATCAAAATCCAAAAGAAAATTATGAAAGACACGAAAATTTTAGAATCTAGTCAGAAATATCATCGGATACTTTTTTACAGCGTAAACGAATCCTATGATGACTATTTCATGACAAGAGACAAGCTGTTCCAATAAAAACTAGTAATGACGAACAGTATAATTATTCTACAACCTCTTTTGCAAATAAATCAACATCTTACACTCTACAATTTATCGGTCATAATGCTAACGAACAACAGATTTTAGAACAGAACCCACCAAGTATCTTTTCCTCACATAATAATCCACCAATTAATTCTCTTAGCTTGAATAATATTAGCTCTTCCCAAATACAATCTCGGTTATGAAATTATCATAATTCCCACATCCTCTCAATTAGCAAGTTCATCCAATTTAAACATGCAACTTCGACTTAAACAAGACAATACTCTAAACCTCTAGTTTCGACAGGTTTTCAATAAGTAATTAATATAGTTTTGACTGGTTAATTTTAATATGGCTTGGCAGGTTTCGACGAGTTCGACAGGTTAATTTATTAAGGTTTTGACACTTTCGACATTCTAAACCCAGGAGTTTAGTCAGGCAACTATACAACATGTTATGATTTTTAATTTATTATTTTGATGGATATTTGTAATTAATATAGCGCTTTTTTTTTTCTTGTAATACAAACAAAAAAAATTAAAAATTAAGAAATTAAAAAAATAAATAAACAAAAGATCCACCCTAATACTTTACAAAAACTTAATAACAACATATTGACTATACGTTAGCCATAGTAAATATAGTTAATTATACGGTGATGCATATTAATGATGTAGAAAATTTTAAAGTTTCTGTAAATTCTAAAATATCATAACAACCAAATCATTTCCGTCGAAACTATTCTATAAAGGAGGAGATATAATCTTTGTTCTTGGATATTCGGAGCGATTTCAACTAAATCTTCCACACTGTTAGGTTAATTCACATTAGCTTTATATTTAAGATATTTAAGGTAAAAAGTACGGGCAATGCGGAACAAATTTTCTATATGTTCGGAAGCAAAGCTTAAAATGCATAAATTCATGCGCCTTTGACGTGAGTCACGGGACGCATTTTCTAGATCTTTAACCCTCCCATATAAAAAGTCGGTTTAATAATAGGCAAATTGAATATTTTATTTTTAATAGGTAAATATCACATATTCTAACGATTCCCAAATTATTTCACCAATGTATTTTAAAAAAATTGTTTATCACAAACTACATAAGCAACTCCTTTTATTTATCTTTCTTTTTGTCACTTACTTAGATGTCAAAGGTTTTCCGAAAAAAAAAACGAATTAACACATGGTTTCAGATCTAGATATAGGATCATTTATGTACTCCTAACGCAATTCTACACTCTTCAAAGATTTTTAACTTAGCACATCTATATGACCATCAATTACAAGCTAAGATTTTATTTACAGTGAAGGATTGATTAATTTAGTGTAATAAATTTTCGGTAAGTACAACGCCGAAAATCGAAAAAAATTTTATTCCATAGCGCAATAGATGTCTTCGTGACATGATTATTTGCTTATTGTAGAGCCTTAATTATGTGCGTGTTATGAAAATTTTTGTACATTTTCAATAATCACAACATTAAGCCGGATAGTGGACAAAACTTTAATAATTTCTCTACAGTAACATTAATAGCAAATTACGAAGCGAAAATCGATAGAATAGCAAGTGAAATTACATGTTTTCAAGAGGGAGTATGCAGATTCTATGCGTCTTATTATTTCCTTGCTCTCTCACATTTCTACAGTTAACTTATTTCTATCTATCGCTAATATTGTTAATTACGAAATTTTCACAATCCTTTTATAAATATAAGATTTCCGAAATACATTATCTCATTTTACTTTGTAAATAAAGCCCGTATCTACAAAATATAAAGTAGTAAGACAACTTTTCTGAGAAGAATTTCAGAGCTGTAGCAATACTTCTGATTTTCTCTTACCGTTATATTTCATTTTCATAACATTCCAGTCCGTCTTATATAAACAAATTATTGTGGTTTTTGGTAGAAACTGGGTATTTTTTTTTTGTATTTACTCAGGTTTTTGCAGTGCCGAGACATGTAACAAAATTAGCAAGGACATAATTACTAGAAGGCATGTTTTATCATTAGGACTAACCAAAATGTCTCCAATTAAGAAAAAAAAATTTTTTTTAATTCGAAAATACTTTTTTTTTTAGGACAAATAATATATTTTTTAACCGATTAATCGTTCGGTACTTGATGGTTCTATCTATTTACTATAATCTGGCAAAATTTCTATTTCTATACTCAATGAAACGTTAAGTTAAGTAAATTTAACTAAATAAATTGAACAAAAATTTTAAATATTGGGAATGGTTAATTTATTAAGCTTAATCGGTTTCAGGCAACGGGGATCTCTTCACATGCCAAATCTACCTCGATGTAATAAGGATCGCTACTCAAGCCATTCTTAATATTACGATATCATCAAATAAATAAAAACAATAATGGACAACTACTCAACCTAACGAACAAGAAAGAGAACACTTACGAACAATCTCACTTCATACTCTATTAATGAAAAAAGGGTGGTTTATAATCTCAAAGTTTGTTCATCTAAATAATAATAAGCTCACGAGACCGATTTTACTTATAAAAATCTTTTCTTATATACATTGAGTTAAGTGTTTGAGAACGCCCTTAGGCTCTAATCCACAAATATCAATATCTATGGCAATTATTGATTCTATAAAAAGCAAAATACATCCTGGTCATGTGACGATAAAATGATACGAATTCAAATCAAAAGTGTTGCCATTTAAACCCCCAAAATAATTTTTTTTTTTTATATTTTTTAGTACTGATTTTCAAATCTCATTATCCCAATATTGAAATTTCAAAAATCGGAGATTATCAATATATTACAAGTAATCCTAGCGGAATTGATGATGACAAACACATCTTTATTGACATTACGACGGATAAAAAATTATCTTTTGGTGAATTTAAAAGAGATACAAAGAGATTTGCGGCTGGTTTGGTCAATAAAGTTGGATTTAAACGTGGAGATGTTTTGGCCATACATTCTCCTAATCACGTTGTTAGTGATAGTCTAGTTATGACGCATTAGTACTGCGCCAATTACAATTAGCGAATGATGATCCCGTCGATCAT